ACCATTAGCTGAATGTACTATCAATAAAATCCTGGGTTGCAAGTACTCACCTTAATATTTAAAAAAAAAAAAAAAAACATGTTTAGTGCAATACATAACATAGAGTAAATAATTGACCAAGATTGGTCAAGAATGGCAAAGACATTCTGAAAAATTTGCAAACTTATTATACTAGAAGTCACTGCAAAATTGATAAGCCAGTGGTTTTTTACTTGCCAAGACAAGCTGACTATGAGCAAATATATTCAAGCCTATAATGTAAACAAAAAAATAAGAGTGAAGATTATGTAATTATTTATTATTCTTGGAGCAGATTGGAAGGGTCAAGGAACTTTCTTGTCTTTTAGGCTTATTATTGAAGTGACTCTATTTGCTGCTTGTGTATTTATGTGACCCATGTTTGTCTCTATTATTTGTTACCACATAGTTCATATGTTGTTGGCATATGCCATTATGTTATTTGTATATGATTTTCAACTTTAATCACTTGCCTTATTTGTACTGTTTGTGGTATCTGTAGAGTTGTGTGTAGGGTTGTTAATAAAGTAGCTTGCTCCAGAGCACACCAGAGTAGAGCCCAATCCAAGTTGGAGTAGGTTTAAACTTTTATATTTAAATTTGGAGCAACCTAAAGCAACTGAAGTAGCTATGAAGCAACTCAGAGTAAAATGCTAAAGTAAGTCTAATTTACTAAAGTAGGTTAAGAATTGGATTAACTCAACCCAACCCAACCTATTAACAACTCTAGTTGCATGGTCGTCTTATAATAACCCTAGTGTTGCCCTCAAAAAATAGTAGCTGAACAGAGCTGTCAAGTATATGTTATTATATGATTCAGATTTGATTATGGGCAATTTTGATTACAAATCAAAAAAAGTTTTGTATACTTGTAAAATTCACTATCATTACTTTACAATAATGAATATAAAAAATTTTTTTTTACTATTATTACTGCGGTGCTGTTATTTTTATAGATTTACTTATAGTTTTATACTACTTTATTATATTTATTTGATTTTTTTTTCTTTGATTATTAGCATATTTAAATCAACAAAAAAATTTTTTTATAATAATAAGTTCTTTTACTATGTCAGCTCAACAACCCAAATCCTGTACAGAATGTTATACTATTCAAATAATGAAAATTTTTTGAATAAAAAAGAAATTAAAGTAAAAAAATTTTACAATGCAAAACCAAATTAAATTATCATATTCAAGAACAAACTAATATTACAATTATAAAATTTTATCTTACAAAAAAATTATCTAAAGTTCAAATATTTTTACACCTTGAAGATTTTTTGGTAATTTAAATAAATTACCATCTATTATAATCTTTGGATCATTGAATTAGTCTTATAAACACTTTGTATAGTATTAAATGAAGTATATTTTTTGAAATTATTAACTTATTGGTCCAAAATAGAAATAAAAAACAGATGCTTGTGAATTTGCCTACATATATAAGCAAAAAAAAAATGCATAAACAATAAAATTTTAAGCAATTCAAGAGACTATATTATTTACATTTTCTGATTAGTAATTGAATTGTCTATAATCAAATCTGAATTACATAATAATATGTATCTGGCAGATCTGTCTGGCTACTATTTTGAGAGCAATGCTAGGGTTGTTGTCACCTTACTTTTCAATTATGTAATCCATCATCACTTCATATGTTTAAAAAAATTTTTTTTTTAAAAAAAAAAAGCTATGTGATTGTGTCACAGATTGCTACCTCATAATATGAAAACTAATTATATAATTTTATATAGCCTTATTATTTATATATTATTTATTCTTTATTTATTCATTTAATCTAAGTATTCCTAATACTTTAGTATACTTCTATCTTTTATCAAACTTCTAATTCAGATAACTTATATAAGATTACAATCAATTCATTAGTATATTAGATTAACCCAATATCTTTTTTTTTTGATTTATTCTGATAATCTGATTGGTAATACCTCTAAAACTTTTTCAACTTAGAAGTTCTTGTTTGTCTATATATTACAATCTTAATATCTGTTTTTAGTAATTTAATCTTTACAGAATATCATCAAAGATTTAATATTATCTTTTTAAATAAACTTTTTGTTATCTAATTTCAACAGATTTATATAATTACAAGAACTTATTTATATTTCACTATCTAATTATTAGTTTGTATTTCTCTATATAATACCATACTTATATAAATATCTTATGATCTATCAATCTTGTTGATATAATTACTATTACAAATATTCTAACCCAATCATTAATAACAATTACTGTAATACAAATATTACATAAATAATTATTCAAATTTTTATCATTAATAAGATTTGAACATCCAACCTATCACTTGAAGGTTAACAACCAGATTACTTTACTAGGTTACTACATCTTTTGACAAAAAAATTTTAATCCTAAATATAGATCTTAAAAATAGACAATTTGCAAACCTCTAACCTAAATATAACTTAATGATGTTAATACAAATTGTAGTTTCAAAAAATCTAAAATAGAACATTCAAACAAAAATATTAAGTATAATAATTGGTAAAAAACCTTTAGCAGGCTTCTTAAATAGGTAATATAGAAAAATTACACATAACTAATTGTACATTCTTTCTGTAATAGTTCTTTATAAAACACATTACCAAAAAAATATTAATAAAAATTAAATCATTTTAATACCAAAAAAAAAATATATACAATCTGTGTATATAAACAAGCTTAAAACCTATACATAGAAAGGTTCGTATTAGTAAAAAACAATCAAATTATAACTTTAAAATTTTAAAATTTAAATTAAATTATATGTTTTAAATATTAAATTCTAATTGGCTATATTAGAAAAATAATTTTATAGGTTTAGGTCGCAGATTATATGTCTGAGTCTTTATTCTTCATATATAATTTAAAAGCAAGCTTTCCTTTGTAAAAACTTCAATTGAATTTCAATAAAGTTAAAGGCATGGCCTCACCGGTAATATTATAAAAAAAAAAAAAAAAGAAAGGTAGTTTTATACATAAATTTTTAAAAAAGTTTGTATTTGTAAAATATAAAATATATACAGTCGCATCCTTCTAAGTGCATACGGATCTTTTTCCACCTTCCATCATATCTGTTTTCGACAGCTTTTGTATTTTTATCTTCGTCATCCGAAGAGTAAATTGAAGATTTATGTTTTCTCTATTTTGTACTAAATTTTTTTTTGTTAGAATCCCAAAGGCGGTTTTATTAGTAAATTTTAAATTACAATATGTAACTGTGTTTTATACATTATATAAGCTTAAGATTTACCTAAATTGTACTAAATTGCACTGCGCCAAACCTTGGTCTAAATAATTTAACATTCTCAAATTTCTTATATAACGTTAAAACAATGTTATTATATTATTTTGAATAAATTAGAGAAGTGCTGTCTACATGTTAATTATCTAGAGAAGCTTTAATATGATTAAAATTGCATATCCAACAAATTCGTGTGTTTGATAATGTCTAGTATCAATTTTACTAAGTATATACTATTTGTCGTTGACACTCAATACAGACATTTTATTAATAGAATCAATTTCATCTTTAAACAAAAGTTTCCTAGAAGATGAGATAGATTTTGGCATTGATCGACGAGGCGTAACTTTAGATGGGGATGATTCTGGCGTTGATGCAGAAACGGTAGAAGCAGAACTTCCAGTTGAATCGTCATCTTTAAGAAATAGGTTGATTTTTTCATCAGCTATTTCAAGATGATTTGTTTGCTCACAAACTTCTAAGGCACTTAATCGTAACATGTATTCAAGAAGACTAAGAGTTTTCAAATTAGATTGGTGTATCTCATTGTCCCCAGAATTATCCGGTGTCGAGTTCAAAGGGCTTGTAGGCAAAGGAATCCTTCTTGGTGTAAGAGAAACAGGACTCTTGGGTAAAGGAATTCTTCTTGGTGTAGGTGACGCGTGGCTCGTTGACAATGGAATCTTTCTTGGTAGTGGAGTTCCAGGAATGGATTGCGAAGATTGTGTTATTGCTGATTCTTCTTGATCATCATTGTCACTATTTAAAGGCACTTCTTCTTCCTCATCGTTCTCTTCTTCTTCCTCATCGTTCTCTTCTTCCCCATATTCATCAGTTTCAATAGGTTCCTGATATATCTCTAAAGCGAACAAATCAGAATTCGAATGTTCTTTAGACTCTTTTGCGCGTTTTTCTGAAGTATTCGGAGGGACATATAACGGATTCGCATCTAAATCTATATTACGTGTAGTTTCATCATGTGCCTTTAATAAGTGTGCCTTTGAAAGTCCTTTTATTACTTTTAGTACAAGCACAGGGCTCTTCGAATCTTCAATATTCAACAAAGATCCAGACGAAGTATAATATAAACGAGAAATTTCACCAACTGGAATCCGTTTTATTTTGCCTGGAATAGATTGTGATTGCTGTCCGAGCTTAGCTTCTTCTGCAAGTTGTATTGCAGGGCCATCATTATCAAATTCTTCATGATATCTTCCATCATTTAAATCTTCAACAATTATCAATTCGTATATGTACTCTCTTTCTTCGTTTTCTTTAACATCATGAACTCGGTATAAAGCAGCATCGCATTTTGAGAATTCTTCTTTCCACGTAAAGTCATTTACAGACTTGGGACGAACAGATGCTGTAAACATGTAGTATAATTTTAATTTGTATCCAGGTCCAACTCGTATCTGTTTGCTACTTTTTGAAAATAGGCGATTTGCTTCACGTAACGCATCAGACGCTTGAAGTAGGCGAGAGGGGCTGGTAGAGTTTGGTAAGCTCCATCCTAAATTCGCACCACTAGTTGTCATCATTAAATTTAAATATGGCACAAATTTCTCAATCTTTTGTATTAAAGTTTGCATTTCATTAGTAACTTTAGATGCATTGAAGAATCGTTTTTTATCTGTTGAAGAAGTTGACTCAGTTTCAGACAAATTATATTCAGAAAGGCTACGCGCAAATGACTCAATCTCTTTACGTAATAGTGTTGTTTGAACAGCTGTTGGTTCTAAAGCCGTGTTTCCGCGTGCAGATATAATTTCAATTAGATCAATAGCAGGCTGAACCATTCGAATGGTGGCTTCAAGTGTCTTAGGTGTTTATATGAAATAAAAACAAATTCAGTATATAAATGTTGAATGCATTATAATGACGTAATGAAATTATAAATATACCGCTTTAACACGCTCAAGTTCCTCCATGTCGACGCTTTGTGCATTAGAAGCGTCGCGTTTAATATACTTTGTAACTTGATTCTTTAAACATGAATAGAGTAGTCAAAAACGCGTCGAAGCAAGGAAAATTGGCAAACAAAAAACTTTTTAATGATACCATGGCATAGTTTGTGCTATAGGCGAACGCCGCCTTACCGACCTATAAAAAATAGTTATGATGGATTTAGACAGTGTCGGCTCGCAAAACAACAGATAATGACCGTTCGAAAAGTTACTTACAAAAGTGGCAGTATGCAATGCTAGTTTCGTCAGTATTTCGTCCATTTTGAAAAGAAATAATATAAGTTCAAGCTTATAATTTTCTAATATTAAGAGGAGGGTAACATATGCAGAAAATCATCTGATTGGACAATTTTTGTAGATCTACCCGTGATTACTGACCAATCAAATTGCATAGCTTGTTGGCCGAGTATATACTTTAAAGTACTTTTTAAAAACGTAACGTTTCTAGCTCTAAACGAACGTAAATATTCACTGTAGCTTTGCTAATAGCTTATATAATAAGTTGAACTTGATTAGTTATTATTGTAATTAGTTAATTTTTGGTTAATCAAATTTTAAAATAACTTTTAATATTAAATTAATATTTTTTTATTTTTATTTTTTTATAATAAGTAGTTAATTGCTTAGCCAAATTGGTTTTATTAGTTAGTGATATTTTTAAGTAAATTCATAGTTCATAAGAGTACAGTTAGTTATATATACAATTTTAGTCATTGTTTATTTAAAAGTTCTAAGAATTCTGATTTAAGATTACTTTTTTTTTTTTTTTTTTTGCTTATACTAAGGCTGTATAACTTGTACAAAGGTGAGTGTACAACTAATTACATATACAACTTTTGGTTGTCTATTTTAAGTAGTCTGCCCACATAGCAGATTCTACATTATACAGGTTGAACAAATAAATAAAGAATAAATAATAAGTAAATAATAGAAAAAAAATCTGTTATTATTTTATCCTATATCTGTTAAATAATAGCAATATAACAACAGCATAACAGCAGAATAACAATAAAATAATAGGAGGTTTGTTGATATAAGTAACGTAATAATAACATAATAGCAAAATAATAAAATAATTCTATTATTTTACTTTTAGTTACAAAGACTAAAAGTAAAATAATAAAACTGTTTTATTATTTTGCTATTATATTACTATTATGTTATTTATTTTTTTTTTTTTCAGTATTAAGGTGACCTTTTTGGTCTGAGCTTTTTATTAATATTTATAGCAGATATATATTTTATATAGATATATCTATAATGAACTATTAGATGAATATACAACTGGTTACATGTGTAACTTTTCTATATTACCTATTTAAGAAGTCTGTTTGAGAGTTCCTCACCAGTTGCTATACCTAACACCTCTGCTTAGATGTTTCATTTAAACCTTCTGATCTAACCTTAGTATTAATTTCACCAGGTCACAAACTCAGATCTATTTGTATTCGATCATAGAACTATAATCCTTAGACTATTTTTATCCTCGAAGTAAACCTACCAGAGTAAGTCATATTTCTTTTTATCACTAACCTGGTTTAACGCTATGATCAGGGCCAACACTTGCAGTTAGGGTTACTTCTTAAACTGCTATTACCTTTGTAAAGTTCACCCAAACTCTGGTATTCATCTTTCCAACTTCCTTTCTATTATCCCCTACTAGCTGTAACTTGGAACTAACTGACTCTCCAGACTTCCAATCCAGATGGCCTGATATGGTATACTTATGTATCCTTTTCCTTCAGTGATTTCAGCAGCCTGGTTGTCATATGTTCTTCTATACATTTTTATCATTCAGTTTATCCAACAGTTCCTATGAAGGTGTTTCATGGGCTTCTATTAGTCTAATGGTATCATTGAAAGTTTGTGCTATTTCTTTACTTAGGATTTCCAAGTGAGTTTCTGTCTCTTCGGTTTCTTAGCCTTCTATATCTGATGGTCTTATCGTGAGTTTGCCCAAAACCTTATACGACACCAGTTTTATATTCCTCTATGTACATATACTGTGTAACATTATACTTCGCATAGATGCCCCAAGCTCCTAATGTCAGGTGAAACCCGACTTGGTGTACCTAAGATTACAGATGCCCAAAACTCAACTGATCAGCAAGAGACAGTTATCGTAACACAGGTATAATTTTCAAAATTCGTCGTCTGTGAGAATTGAACCTTAGACCTGCCACTTGAAGGTTGACAACCTATCTATTTCACTAGGTCATCACACCTACACTATTATGTTATTTATATCAACAAACCTTTTGTTATTTTACTATTCTTTTACTATTATGTTGCTATTATGCTACCATTATTTGGCAAATATAAAGTAGAATAATGGCAGATTTTTTTTCTGTTATTTACTTATTATTCACCTTTTATTTATTTATTCAATCTGTATTATATAATGAAAATAATTTAGTGATATAATAAAAATTGAATACAGAGAGTTTAAATAGATAACTTCCTTAGTTAGATTGCAGGTATGACAACTAATGTAAAACCATCAACAAACAATTTAATTAGATACCAAAAGTATACATATGACAAGTTGTACTTTCTAATGTAAGAAAACTTCTTTGAGGTCTTTACTATAAGTTCCTATATTTTAACTACTGAATAAAAAATCCTAACTTCAAAAAAAACCAGTTTAATACAAAAAAAAAAAAAAATTTTAAAATATTGTATTATTTTAAAAAAATATACTTGTATATATTACAAAATTTTCTGAAATCTCCCAAAATTTGCTAGAATTATACAAAATTATTAGATTTGATTAGTTAATTTACATAATCCTATAAGTTAATTAATAAATTTTTATATCTAATCTTTAAAAAATCATATTTTCCTAAGTTTTTACTCAATATTAATGATTTTACTATCATTAAAATCAAAAAAACTTACTTTACAAACTTTTCTTATAAATTAAAATTAATTTACTTAATATAATTTTTTATAAAATTAAATATAAAAAAAAATTACCATTAGGTTTATATATAAT